TGGGGGGGGGGGTGAAGGGGGAGTACACACCTGCAAGCATTTTAACGTGTACACTGGTTTTTGTTCTGTCTCTTCACAGTCATGTCTCACCCTGCAAGTCCTGTAAATTCCTGCCAAGTACCCTGTAAACTCCTGTTAGGCTCGGCTAACTGGTATCAATGTCATCATTGGGAGGCCACTTACCCTTCCTCTCCCGAATCTTGAGCAGTCAATGCAAGAACTTTGACAGGAGTTTCGACAAGTTTGAAGGAGTTTACAGGTGCATGACGGGTGATGACAAGTTTTAGAGGGTGCTGACAAGGCTGTCCGCTATTAAAGTGTGTATTTGGTATGCTGACAAGCGCTAACAAGTGTGCATACCCTCCACAAAGCAGTATCTGATTCTCAGGCAGTACCTTGTAATCAGCCGAGTCATCTTTTCCGGCATCAGGGATCACCAGTTGGTACTTGTTATCGTCGACCTTCTTCGGCTGTGCCTTGTCAGAAGGCGAGATTTCCTTGCCATTTTTGTACCTGGAGAAGAAGCAGATCGAGGAAATCGGTAAAAGTAGTAATACTGTCCCTTTTATCCGCACACGACAAAAGAACATTCTGCCCTTACTACTGGGCGGAGAAATGGGCGGAGACAGATTACCATTGCACCTTCCTGATTGGCACGTTGCTCTTTGCTACCGTATTGAGAGAAGCGTATCACTGAGAGTGCGCAATAGCCACAAGTCTCCGTCCATATCCACGCCCATTCGATTATCGCGGAATGCGTCTATGAAACGAAGTTGTAAAAAAATCCGTACCATTTGACCTGCTTCGGTGGTCGGTTGGTCTCGATTTCAAGAATGCCGGTCTGTTTCTGGGGTACAGTAGTGTCTTCAAGTCCTTTAACAATTTCAATTCCTCCAGGAAGTTTGACGGTAAGAGCACAACTCGATTCAGCGGTGTTATTGTCGTCGTCGGTAAGTACAACCTGAAAATTACCCACTGGTTTTTGAGGCTCTAGTTAACTTCAGGCGGATGAGTTGGGGGGAGGGGAGGGTCCACATCTGCAAACTTTTCTAAAGTATAGGGCTTCTTGTTTTGTCTCTGCACAAGTCTCTACCTAACAAGCCGAACTCCTGTCCAGTTACCTGTAATCTTTTTCCATGTTAAGCTTGTAAAATGGTAACGCAAGCACTGAGAAACTCTGCATCTCTGATGCTTTTCAATCTTGACCAGTCATTTTAATAGTTATCACATGGCAATTACAGCCCGCGGGCACGACGTGTGGGCGGCAACTTTTACAGGTGTTGCAAGCCGTGCCCAGCATTCACTGCTATACAGTTTTAACAGCATTTGGTATGCTGACATGCGCTTACAAATCCGCCTACTACCTTCCCCCTCCCCTTCCCAGCCCACTTCCCCAAGGCCATTTCCGGTTCTCAGGCAGTACCTTGTAATCAGCCGAGTCATCTTTTCCGGCATCAGGGATCACCAGTTGGTACTTGTTATCGTCGACCTTCTTCGGCTGTGCCTTGTCAGAAGGCGAGATTTCCTTGCCATTCTTGTACCTGAAAAAGGAGTAAATCGGTGGAAATCGGTAAGAGAGTAATTTTGCTCTTTGCAGTCCTCCCATTTGACCTTCACACAGCTAGAAAGAGTTAAAATCACATTCTGTTGGGCTGGGATAAGGGCGGAGAATGACCACTGCACCTTCCTGACTGGCACATGGCTCTTCTCTGACGCATCAGGAAAAGCGTACCAATGAGGAAAGCAGAACAGCTCTAAGTCTCCGCCCACCCGATTACCGTGGGTGTCCAACCTGCAACTGTGTCTTCCACGTTCGTGCACCGCTTTCCTTTACTGTATGAGGAAAGAGGGGCGCATCAACGTGAAAGGCTTGAGAGCAGACCTGACCCGCCCACGTGATTAGCGCGGACTGTGCACTTTAAGTGCGGTGACTGGATTTGAAGCGAGCCTTGTAGTGTGTCTTTGAAACAACGTCAAGAAAACCCTTACCATTTGACCTGTTTCGGTGGTCGGTTGGTCTCGATTTCAAGTATGCCGGTCTGTTTCTGCGGTACAGTAGTGTCTTCCAGTCCTTTGACGATTTCGATCTGTGGCAGCTTCACGGTCAACGCTGCAGATGAATCCGCATCGCCTACATCGTTCGAAACAACGACCTGAATAAGATTAAGCACTTCCACTACCACATCTATTTCTCTTCCCAAAGAAAAACTTCTGAAAACCGTGCTAAAAATGAAATTCAGGGGAGGGGGCAGTACGCAATACGCAATGATAGCGTGGGCGGAGACATACTTGCGACTGTGGCTTCTTCGTTTGGGCTCGGCCTTCCTTCACAGACATGAGGAAGAGGGGAGGCATCAACGTGGAAGGCTGCCTCGAAGGCGCTGGAAAATCAATCAAACCTTGTAGTCAGCTGCATCCTCTTTCTTCGCGTCAGGAATGATAAGATCGTAGGAACCGTCGCCGTTGTCCTTGGTTTGCGCATCAGGAATCTCCTTACCGTTTTTGTACCTAGAAGAGGCGTACGGTAATTAGGAAATCGTTGGCAGAAATGCAAAGAAATGGCCACTATACCATTTAACAGCCTTGACGGGTCCCTTCACTTTCACAGTGAACGTAGCTGTTTCTCCTTGTTTCACTGTGGTTGGAATGAGTCCGGAGACAATCTCAGGCTTCACTTTGTCCTTACCGTCATCTGCCAAGGACACCTGAACAAAACTCATAGAAGCTATAGGTTTCTTTCCACAAAGATTACCATAAGGGTGGCTATAAAGGACATATGGGCAGTACACTATACCACTCACCTTTGCCTTGCTTTCCACTTCTCCAACGTCATTTTCGGCTGTGACACTGTATTGTCCAACATCCGAGTCTTTGAACTGTAACTGGTCGATCGATAATCTCGTTTTTTCAAGGAAAGTTAAAAAAAACTTGGAATCTTCTGAAGACTCCGGTACTAAGGGAACTTTCCATAGTTTCCCACGACTTCAGGGGGGGGGGGGGTGATTCACATTTGCTAATAAGAGTGACTTGGAGGCCCAGGAAGACTGTGAGCAAAGGCCTGGTAGCTTTGTGCCCCACCTGGCTAGAATTGATCAGAGTAAGACAAAGCGCTACCAATGCAAGGGATTTTGCCCAGGGCTGTTTTGGCGACGGTGCTAGGGGCCGATTCTAGCTATGTAGGTGATCCAGAGGAACACCGACAGTGCTGGAAGGGAAGTGCAGAGTTCACTCTTTAGAGACGTAGTCCACGCTGTTCGCGTGCGCGGGGCCAGGCCTGCCATAGCTATTTTCCCACCCTCGTCTTTCACCTGTTACCTTCGACCTTGGTTGGTCTCAATTTCAGTTGCAACTTTCTATTTCTGATGTTCAGTAATGTCTCTACAATCTCGGAACGAGGAACGTTCCGATGAGGACGAAACAATGGAAGGCCTATGCGAGGAGATGGAATCCCGCCCATACGGCTAGCGTGGACTATGCCCCTAACTACTCGAGTCGTACAGCTCCCCTTCCAGCCAAACGAGGTTTTTCGAGAATCGTTCCAAACAGTGATAACTAACATTCTCTATCCCAGAAATGGGCTGGGCGCGGCTGCGCACCTGGACATGGAGAGGTTACGTTTTTTTGTGAAATATCTCCGCCTGCAGCAACTGTTATCCAGTGTGATGATGGAGGACGACATGGTTACAAACCGAAAACGGCAATATCCCACCAAAGGTGCAGCCGCGGGCATGTTCAAATGAAGTGCGCAGCCACGCCCGCCCTCTCCATTTCCGCGATAAGAGTACCCATATTTCACATGACAGAAACAGGTCACTTACGTCA